ACCCGGGCCTTTATACAGCCGGCCGGGCCGCAGGGTTGGGTCTCGCCGCTCGCTCCTCCCGGGGGCAGTGCCAGCGAGCGAGGGGGCAGCGGCGCGGGGGCTCCGCAGTGCCCGGGCTGCCGCCTCGCGGGCCAGCGACGTGCAAAGCCGGCGTCCGCCCGGCTGGGTGGGCTGTCGGCAGGGTGCCAGCCCTCGGGTGTCCGTCTCCAGGAGACTGCTGAGACTCACCCGGGAGAGAACTGAGAGGGCATGTGTTAACATAAATATGAAATCTTGAATCCCGTTTATACAGGAGTCCAGCGGTGGGGTTTAAAATGGAGCAGTAATGTGAATTTGCCTTTCTGATGTCAAGTTTACACACCATCACACATACCTGATATCTGCAGGCGCGCGGTCATTTCAGAAACCTCCCGGAGTGGATTCAAACAGAGTTGGCAAACCTATCTGTCCGTGCCCAGCCGCAGGGTGTGGCATGAAGCGTTGGCCTCTGATGCACTTTGGAGAATGGGGAAGAGAGGTCCATGCAGGGGGGAAGACATTTGTCTTCCCCGGGGAGCCATGGGGAAGGCCCTCCACCAGCAAAGCCAAAGGGAGCTCCAGAGACAACCGTCCCCAGTCAGATTCCTGACAGGCAGCTGGAGCCTGGGACACAGTTCAGGGAAAAGTCATAGCTAGTAATTGGACTTCATCTCCCTGAGGCAGAAAGGTAACAACTGCCACAGTGTCCATCTCCTGTTTTTGGCAAGTGGCACACCACCTGATTGTAAGACTCCTTTCTTTCTGAGTTGTGTCCTAGAGGGAGCTCAAGCTGGTAGTTATACCCAGGAATTAGGAGTCATGACTTTGAGGTGCTGCTGTGTGGCACAAGTTTGTTGGGCATGGCTTGATCTTGTAGTCTTCTGAGTATCACTAGGAAGGTGCAGAGATTACTCCATCTCATTTACGACAGGGGAAGTAAAGGTACTGAGCAGCCTACAAACCCGGTTGCTTAGGAACGGATCCAGAGAAGGACTTTGGTACCTCTAGGTTAGGCACCTGACCCGCACAGTTGAATCCAAAGCCTTAGAATTAGGCCCCTGGACTGGTAATGCATGGCCTAAGCAGCTTAGGAGAGTGGTCCAAAAAACCTGAATGAAAAGGGAGAGCTAGCCCAGGGGTTGGCAACCTCCAGCACGTGTGCCACAACATGGCACATGAAGGCATTTTGCTTGGCACGTGTGCCGCAGGGCGGACAGCAGGGAAGGGGCTGGGGCTGCACTGCAGCAGCAAGGATTGGGGTCCTTGCAGCTCTCCTGCTGTCCAGCCCTGGCGTGCCAACGTCGTACAAGTGGAGGTTGAGGTATTTTTGGCACTCTGCCCAAAAATGCTGCCCACCCCTGAGCTAGCCAGTAGGGAGCACTAGCACAAGAGTGTCTGAATGCCCGTCTGTGGAGCAGAGGTGCCTCACTCAGAGCTGCAAGGCATTTACTTGGGATCTGGAGCCTGGATTAAATAAAGAGCTAGAACCAGAACCCAAGATTGCAATTTGGATTTAAGCATCTGAAATCTGCTAGAGTCCCAATTTAGGTGCCTTAAGTCCGTCTTTGAACGTGCCTTCTCTATTCCCTAGCTTAGCCATAACAGAAATATTGTACTGCTTAGCTAATTAACCTTTGTAAAGGACACTGAGTATCTTCAGGAAATGCTTATAATGTTTTCTTAGTCATGTCATAGTTAAAGTTTTCAAAACAGGCTAAGTTATAGCTTCCTATTTTCACTTCCTTATGACATAAGCATTAATCAAACTGCTACATGGGGTGAAATTATGCATTCTTAGTAAATAATGTTTTTAATTTAAAAATAAGGAAATTTATGACAAAAAACATTTTATCCAGCTATAGTGGATTGAAAACTACAGCTCTCCTAATCTCAGGATTAATGTCACACTTCCCAGATTTCACCCATATAGCAAACTGTAATTCACCCACACACCCTGTGATGTAAAAGGGAAATATAACTGTACATTTTACCTGACAAATACAGCAAATATTCTGCTGAAGCAATTTGCAAAATAGAACCTAAAAATGTCCCATTTAATGTTATGCAAATTTAATTCTACCCTTCAATTTCACCCACAGTCAAAAGGGAACAATTATGAATCATATTTTTAATGTTTCATACAATTGTTGTTACATGCTGCAAATTTTTTAGATTTTCACAGGAAAAAAAAACTTTCTTAGGACCTAAATAAAGCATTCACTGGATCAGTAAATATATTGCTGCTTTGTTAACTCAGTCTTGGGTAAAAATGCCTGCAGCTCAACCGCAGAAGGCTGAATTTTTAAACTTGATCTCTAAAATTTTAAATACTTGGATATTTAAGCAAATTGTAACAGCTAATTGTGCATGATTTAGCTTAGGACAATGTCAGTTACAGCCTGGCCCAGTTCAAACCTGGGATGGATGGACAACAGCTTGTTATATGTGGATCCAACCAGTGGATTCACATGCTTCTAAGAAAACTGACTCTAGACAGAGCCTGTTCATTATTCCCAACAGTTTATAGCTGTGACCAAACGCAAGTGCATGGCTGCAGACAGCTTAAAAAATGATCGATGTAGTGAAAATCAGACCCCATATTGCATGAGGTATCAGATAAAGATGTTTCAAAATGTAGTGTCTTCTGTAAGTTGTGTCTGCAAGCTCCCAGCCTGTCACTGTTTTCAGAGTGGGAGGGGGGACAGGGAGCTGAGGGTTCTCAGTCTAGGTTTTTTTCCGCCTGTCTCCCCTTCAGCACCAGCTCAGAAGCCCCCAAAACGAGCTCCCTCCTCTACCTTTCCCGCCTCCCATTCTGAAAACAGCAAGCACTGGCAGAGCATTGGGCCATTGCTATGGGAACCTGGCTGCAGGTTCCCAGCCCCTAACTAGCTTCCCCTTCCTCCTGAAACCAACAGTGAATTTCGGTTTGATCTAGGATAATGTGGTAACTCAGAAAGCTTTGCAGAGATCGTTCTGAGTTACAGCTGGGAGCTGTACTTCTGTCTACATCCATAATAACTGAACCCCACCAGCTGCACCTTCAGAGTCCCACCTAGGCTATAGTCACTCTATGCTTCTAGTTTAGCATAGAATCATAGAAAAAAATTACTGAGCAGCTGACTAATTAACTATGCAGTAAATATCTCGATGTCTACATGTGTGCCCTTTTTAGGGTGCACATTAATAACTTCCCAGCAGTACATGTGTAGATGTGACCCGGCTGACTGGGGCACAAGGGTGCTTTAGTGCCAGGGCTGCCTGCCAGCTAGCCACACACTGAACCACCCTTGTGCCCCAGTCAGCCCCTCCATAGCACATTGAGCCTAATCAGAGCAGCCGTGGGCTGGCAGGCTGACCAACCCTGGCCTCCTGGCAGCTGGGGCTGCTCTGACCCAGCTCAATGTGCTGAGGTTCAGATGCACATGTAGACACACAGACTGTGGTACAGAAAGTTGCTAGATGACTCATCCATGCAGATTTTATGGCAACCGTATCAGTCTACTGCCCATAGCAATTAGTGCTTCAGTATAAAGTTAGGTAGCTCACTAGGCTAGTGTGGTTAGGACACGACAGTTTCTATAATAAGAGGCATACAAGGAAGTCATGCAGCTATCATAAAATGTGACCACCTTTGACTCCTCAGCCTGAATGGCCAGATATCCATTTACAGCTGGGTCAACTGGCAGCAGTGGGTCCAGGCTCATGACACTGGTAGATGACATAGCTAGCTCGACCATAGCTTTATTTTGAGGTTATGGTGTGCTTACACTGTTCTGATACCTCACGCACTCACAGAGTATTGCAATAACATTCATGTTACTTCTGATGGGTCAGCCTATCCAGCATTTGGTATAATTTTATAATAATATTTACCTTCACCTACTTCTTAAAGAGGGTACCCTAGCACTTTCTTAATTGGCTTTGCCCTCAGAAAAGTTGTCTTAGTTTGATAAAACTAATGGAAGAAGAAGCATGCATGTTTGACCAAATGGATACAGCTCCACTTGTATCTACATTTGTTGCAGACCTCACCTTAAAGGTTGTTGGTGGAGTTTGACAAATAGTTCACATCAAACATTCAACAAATTTCACCTGTTTTTCTAACCAAAATATGTAAGTTCTATTTGTTACTAATGTTCAATATCTGTGTACATACCTGCATGGCACAGTACAGTTACACTATTTTTACAGGAGTTTCTTTAGTACATTTTTTAATGTACTAAGATCATAAATCGCTGCATGCTGTGCTTAAGTACTTATGTTGCCTTGTCACAGAGTTATTTATCAACTGGATCAATGAGTCATTTCCTTGCTTAACAATTCCTTCTATTTAAAGAATTCAGACACCTTTTTAAAAAAAACAGGCAAGATTTGTACATGAAATACAAGTTCAAGATCTACTATGTAACAAATTAAATAATACTTGTGCCTGAGAAATTCAGGCAGTCAAATGTGGGAATTACAATTAGATATTGTTCGTCTTGAGGCTCACAATGATATATTTAAAAAATATAGAGTATCTTTTGTTAAGATTAATAAATTAAACTATTTTGGAGCTATCTATATTAATGTTCATCAAAGAATATTAAAATTCATCAAGGAATTTAAAAAAAACAATAATACTTATATGTGTATTTGATTGGCATCCTTTCGTCTGTGAGAGACGGTGGATATTGCAGCCAATGATGTAGTGGTTTGCAGTGTCTCAAGTGACTGAATAGTCCAATCTGAGATTTGCATGATCTGTGGAATTTTGGAGCATATTTACCTCCTTGAGTTGTTTCATAGATTCTTAGAGTTTGGGTCAGAAGGGACCTTAGCAGATCATCGAGTCCGACCTCCAGCCCTGGGCAGGAAAGAGCGCTGGGGTCAGATGACCCCAGCCAGGTGCATGTCCAGCCTTTTCTTAAAGACCCTCAAGGTAGGGGAGAGCACCACCTCCCTTGGAAGCCCATTCCAGATTCTGGCAACCCTTACCATAAAGAAGTTCTTCCTGATGTCTAACCTAAATCTGCCCTCTGTCAGTTTGTGGCCATTGTTCCTAGTTACTCCAAGGGGTGCCCTGGTAAACAGAGCATCTCCTATTCCTTGCTACTCCCCCTGATGAATTTGTAGGTGGAGATGACTACTTAGCCTTCTCTTGCGGAGGCTGAAGAGATCCAGGGCCTTTAATCTCTCCTTGTAGGGCTTTGCCCCTAACCATGAGTGGCCCTCCTCTGAACCCTCTTGAGTTCGTCCACATCCCTTTTGAAATGTGGCGCCCAAAACTGGACACAGTATTCCAACTGCGGCCTGACCAAGGCCGCATAGAGGGGAAGTATCACTTCCCCGGACCTATTTGTCATGCGCCTGCTAATGCATGATAAAGTGCAGCTAGCTTCACTGATCACTTCACCACATTGATGACTCATGTTCATTTGGTGACAACAATGACTCCTAGATCCCTTCTCACTGCTATGTTGCTGAGAAAGTCCTCCCCCAGCGTGTAAGTGTGCTGGTGATTCCTTCTCCCTAGGTGTAGCACCTTGCATTTGTCCTTGTTGAACTGGATCCTGTTCTGTTCCATCCACTTTTCCAACCTGTCCAGATCCACCTGGATTTGTTGCCTACCCTCTAGTGTGATAACTTTACCCCATAATTGGGTATCATCTGCGAATTTGGACAGAGTGCTTTCCATGTCCTCATCCAAGTCACTGATGAAGACATTGAACAGCACATGTCCAGGGACCGAGCCTTGTGGGACTTCACTGCTCACCTCTTTCCAGATCGATATCAACCCGTCCACCACCACTCTCTGGGTGCAACCCCTAAGCCAATTTGCCACCCACCTGACCTGTAATCATCTACATCACAGCTGCTCAGTTTATCTGTGAAAATAGGATGAGATACCATATTGAAGGCCTTCTTAAAATTCAGATAGATTATATCTACCTCAATTCCTGCATCTAAGTGTTTTGTGACCTAGTCATAAAAAGAAACAAGGTTAGTCAAGTAGGATCTACCTGCTATGAATCCATGCTGGTTGCCCTTCAGCATTGTTTTTCCCACTGAACTCCCACAAATGTGATACTTAATAACTTTTTCAGAGATTTTCCCGAGGACAGAGGTGAGACTAACCGGTCTATAGTTACCCGGATCCTCCTTCCTCCCCTTCTTGAAAATAGGGACCACACTGGCCCTTTTCCAATCCTCTGGAAACTGACCTGAGCACCAAGAGTGCTCAAACAGCCATGCCAGTGGCTCTGCTATGACACTGGCCAATTCTTTCAGATCTTTCAGATCTTGGATGAAGATCATCCAGGCCTGCTGACTTAACATCCAGCCCCTCCAAGTGTCCATTCACTAAGTTGGTGCTAACAGTTGGTGGGCTGGTTTCCCTTTTGTGCCTGTCTATGATCCAATTGGGAGATTTGTCCTGATCCATGTTCAGGAATACAAAGGCAAAAAACTCATTGAAGATGTCAGCTTTGTCCCCCCTATCTGTCACTAATTGCCCTAGTTTGTCCTGTAGGGGTCATATGCTACCCTGCACTTTCTTTTACTTCCTATATAACTGAAGATGGCATTTTTGTTGCTTTAATTTTTGTTGCCAGCCTAAGTAGGGCACAGTAAATTAATTAAAATCTGGTGCAAGATAGTACTGTCTCTGGGGACAGTACAATCTTACGGCAGAATTATTACATGCGACCAAATGCATATGTAGATGAGGACCGTGGCCATAAATTGCACCTGGTCACCCCAGCCAGCCAGGGGCCAGACTCCTGCTTGATTTTTGTGCCCCAGCCAGCCCCTCTGCTGCCTGATGCTGCCACCTAGAGCTGACCCCCTGTGCCCCCTGCCAGCCCTGAGGCTGCTTTGCCCCCACTCAAAGTGCTGTTGTTCTGGGCGCATGTGTAGATGCTGCAGCTGAGAGCAGTTGACGCCAGATGAAACTACTCCAGAGTTTATTGCTTCAACTTAATTTCAGGTGTAGATGTACCTTATGAGTAGCTACTCCCCTACTTTTTGATACAGACTGAATCGGAAG